GACTTTCTGTATCGACACTAAAATTCACAATTAAATGACCTGTTCTATAAATCAAAAAAATTTCTATACGACTTCAGCAAACTCATTTTCCAACTAGTATCCACTTGATTATAATCATGGCTGTATCATGAAGACACTAATCCAAGTCTAAAGATCGCAAAAAGAAATAATTCACGTTGCAGTCACCAGACTTGAGACATGGGTTCAATAAATAGGTGACCACATTTTGAGATCCACTTAGCAAAATAGGCATCCCCAATGTAATATATAATATTATTATTATTATTATTTAGAGTATATTATGGTAAGTAAACAAGTTTCCTTCGATTTTTTGTAAGTTCTCACTATTTGTGTATGTTCACTTGTATTCGAGCTAATGTTCAATAAAAGTAATTTACAAAGAACTGTACTTCAAACAAATTTGTTCCTAAAATATATTAACATTATGAAAAGTAAATGTCTCCCCTACAAGCTTATCATATTTTTGGAATATTCTCATTTTAGGGTGGCAAATTAGCAGACATCGATTCACAACTGTGTAAGGGGTTACATGAAAGAAAAAATAACAATATTAATACTAATAACACTGAGCGAAATGTCCCAGTGTTAGTGATCTGTCTTGCAGTTGGGAGGCCTGAGTTCGATCCCAGGGCCAGCCATTCTGACCAGGGTTTTCGTGGTTTCCCTCAGTCATTCTGGGATGGTTCAAAAAGGCCATAACCACCTCTCACCATCATCCTATCGCCTCATAATTCATGATTCAAGGCTTAACAACCTTGTCTTACGAAGGGATAAGCTGAAAAGTTGCTCCCCATAATGACACACGTTAATCTCTCTCCAAGATAGAATAATACTGGGTCTCGAAAGAGAACGTGTAGCGTGGTCAGAATTGGGCGATATGGTAATAATAATTCCACTCAGGATTGCAACACAAATGATTCAACGAATACCTTTTTAAAGTCTAAAGGGAAGAAAATGCAACATAATAAATTGGAATCATTACATTTCAATAATTAATAGAATTACATGAAGAGCATTTTTTGTTGAAAAAAGGGAACAGAATTAAATTATTCATTTATAAGGAAATTTTTGGCGGTTGGTGGGGTTGGGTTGGGACAGTATGTACAAGCAAGAGAATGACAAAACCATTAAAAAAATATTTCAAAAAACATTTACTGTTTTCATTTGACTAATATTTGACAACTACTGATACATGGTTACCAAACAAATAAATTGTCTATTTTGATTTCCATTTGGTCTACATTGCACAAAAATAAAAACAACAACAACAAGGGTTTACAAGAAAACACAAAAATCAGGTAATTACACTGTATAAAAAGATTGTCTGACTTATGTATATCAATATTCATAAATATATTTGAATAATGAGATTCAAATGTAATATTTTCATATTCACTTTCAAAAAATATTGGAAAAAATGGAAGGTGTTTACAGGCCCATAAGTACAGTAGCAACTGACACAGGTGTCTGAGCTGGAGCTGATGCCTGCCGCACACTCATTTCCCAGGTATCTAAGAGCTGAGACACAGAGAATCTGCTGGGTAATTTGCGGATTCGCGAGGCTAAAGCTTTCTGTACAGCAGTAAGAAATTGAGTGGAGCTGTACTCATGTGGGGCCATATGACATCTTGGTGGGCTCTGTGGGTAGTCCTCTGGCACAGTCAAAGATACTGGTGGCACACATGGGAGATGTCTGTCATCCAACCAACACAATAGTTGAACTGATCGAGATCCAGGATGTTGAGTTGGATCCAAGCTTACCTAACAAAAAGCAGAGGAAATAAAACATCAAAATCTTTTGTATAATATCTACACTCACACTGTTTTGCAGTTTAATGTGGGGAAGAAGAAAGAAAAAGAAAGTGGAGTAGAAACATATCGGACATCTCACGAATGGTCACATGTCACTTTTAATGTCGCTCACAAAATCTTATAGGAGTTGAAAACAAATTTTTACTCCTTTGGCATGTGATGCCTTACTTGTTTTCAGTAAATCGAGTTTTGCAACAAATTTTGGTTTTCAGTATCCTACTCTTTTAGGATTTTGTGAGTAACATTAAAAGCGACATATGACCATTCATGATATGACCGTCATTTTGATTAGTAAAGAATGTGTATTGCTAATAGTCTTTTGCAAGGAATATGCCAAATCCTTTTATTTAATTATTAACTTTAATATTTAACTATTTATTTAACTATTAACTATAAATTGTAATAACTGAAATACAAAATTTTGAAACATTTCAATAAACAATTCTTCAGGCCCTGGTGACAAAAAAGAGAAGAAATCTTATTCCTATTAATAGGTAAATTTCTTTCTCTAACATTTTGAGTAGTCACATTCCATGTTTTGTGGGTACTTGATACCCCAAAACTGATAGCAAAACATGTGTTTGTCACCATTTTTGATTAAACTTTGTCCTTGGATAGCATAAAGGATGCTTAATCCGGGAGGGGTCATGAGGGAGAATTTGGAACCCAGGCTTTACTTTTGCATGTACAGTTTTGTTTCAGAATATTGTATACTCTTGAGATTTTTAGTAACTTTCCCCTAATCTTTTATCTGCCAAATCCATTACTCGTCCATATGATTGTAGGTTGTCAGTCAATTCTTAGAAATTTATTTTTGCTCGCAGGTGCATTTGGGATTGCAAAGTTGTGTGCCCTCCAACATTAGTCCTTTGTTGACAAGAAGAGCTGACTAGAGCAATGTTCAAGAAGACCTTGAGAAAACCTTCATTTCCTGTGACACAATCCAAATAGGATCAATCAACTTTTGAGGTTAAAATATTATTGATACATCCTGGAATTGGCAGAAATAAGAATTGCATCTGAAAGTTTATAACCTAATTGCTTGTGGTTTATATCAAGATCAATACTAAAAGAATTGCCACTAGAGTTGATACCTAAAATAGTACAATATTTGCATTCACAACAAACACAAAAAGTTTTGGTAAGAAAACTAACAAGACAAGATGTAAAATTTATCCAAGAAATTTGGAAGCAAAAGCATCCTGTGAATGTAAATAGTGCAAGACGACAGTTTTATGTAAATGACATTCATTGTTTGTTTGTAATGATTGTATGTACAAATTGAGCACTGAACTTCACACATTCATTCTCAAATTAACATTTAAAATGTACTAATGTTTTACGAACATAATAAGATAATCTGGGGTCCATTTTCTCCTATGCAACCTGTTATTTTCATAGATGCGACCTCATACCAAATCTCATCATTGAAATCATTTTCGCAAATACCAAATACCACATTTTTTCAGTCTCCGAACAACTGCAAAGTCGAAGATAATGATGTTTTCCTTAATGAAAACAATGAATCACAGAATTTGAGATAAGGTTGTGGACAATTTTTCATTTCTATGAGAATTTTTAAAGTACTTTTGAATGAAATTGAGAATTTTTGAAAACTTATTTTCTCAAAAACTGCTCCACTTATTTTTTAAATTTTTTTCCCTATTCATTGATGTATCCAGGTACCCAAGTGCTAAGGTCATTAGTAAGTGTAGTGCATGTTATTTTAGCATGGGAGGTGGCAGAGTTTTCCCTCCACTGGATGGTGACCTACACATTAGCTTGCGAGGTTTTTCCGTATCAGACATTTCCACCAATGGGGCACCACCGCCGGAACAAGCTCTAAGTTCCTGATGTGTCTCTCAACATGTGAGGTAGTGTAGTGGTAAGTATAAATAAGAGGAGGCGAGGACAAGGAAAAGGAAGAAAAATTGTCCCAAGATCCAGGGTCTTTTGAGGGGGAGGGGGGGGGGGGGCGGCGGCGGCACGTGCTTTGGGAATTTACTTGGAGTTAATTGAAGAAACCATGGGAAAAACAATTGATCAGAGCAGCCCAAATGCTAGAGTTCTCCTCCAGAGAGGCAACGGATATCGACCAAGGTCTCTAGCTAATGTCCAGCACCCGTGGAGGGACTCGGACCCGAAGAAGTTCCGGACAGAGGCAAAATCGCAAAATTATTAACAATGTTTTCTTAAATAAACTTTGTTCTACAAATTTAAGGTCTTTAAATAAGGTTATATACATTTTTTTTCAAACAGGAGTAGATTTTGATTATTTTCTGCTTGAAGTTAATACCAAACAATAATAATTTTTTTTCAAAATTTTTTCTTTAAATTTATTTTAAGGATAGAGTGGAATTTATAATTAATTTAATTTATAAAAATATATAAAACATTTATAAAATATTTCCAAGACAAATTTTAAAAATAATTTAGAGAGCATAAGTTGATGCGTACTTTGAACCATACAACTCTCCTGTCAATAGTAAAAGCTTTATCTATCGCTATTCAGGACTGTAGTTTAGCAAACAGACTACCACCATAGAAGCGATCATGCAAACTTGTACTGGTTGACATATCTACAACCAGCAAACAATCACTGTATCATGCACCACTTGCATTGAAGTGATACAAGTTGGCCGTTTTTAAAGTTTCTCGTAAATTGAGGTTAAAAGGACACAAAATGCGGTGTCAGTGATACTTTTTACACCTGAAGGTGAAAATAATCTCAGTTGCTAAATTGAACATCCCACCACTGATGTACCTAAAGCACACTCATTTGGACATCCGACCTAATCTTCACATGATTAGTCAGCACGCACTAATAATATAGGGAAAAAATGCTGATATTTTCCAAAACACTCCTTAAAAAAGATTTTATAGCTATCTATCTATCTAGAGAGAGAAAGAGAGAAAAGTGATAGAATACAGAATTTTTTGAAACAAGCATAATGTACTAAATATGTCAAAACATGTAAATATTTATTATTGTGTTAGGATGGCCAGGACACAATTTTGAGAACGGTAAGTAGAAAGTCAAAAAATATGTCATTACATAAAAATCTATTCACTTCTTATCATAAGCTAACATTAAGCCAACTAAAATAAATACAGCAGAACACGCAAACAAAAATTAATATGTCGCATTCATTTCTTGTTTTTTGATATCTATAGATACTGAAGTAGTGAGCATGTACATTTTAACTTGTTTTTTTCTATATAAAGTGATTTGCCACAGCTTACATTATGGCTTTAATTGTACCTCATTATGATGTTGTACCTCTTTGATGAATTCAATAATAATGATTTTTAATGAAAAATGATATATAAAATGTTAGGTACGTGTTTAAAAAGAATTTGTTTTCGACAATTAAAAACTAATAAGTGTAACTAAAAATGGGATTTACACATTATTTATAGCAGTAACTACAATCACATAAAAGTCTTGAGTTGAGAAAAAGGTGATAATTACTGAACCCTAAATAAAAAAATCTATTAAAACTCACAGTTGTTAGTTAAGAGAGTTTAATAGTAGAATATGATAATTAAATGCAATGATTAGTCACGAAAGTAGTTTTGAGGACAGGCATTTCCCAAAATCCTCACTATACAAAACATTGTATTGGTACAAACAGTGTGTTGATACACGATCAGTTTGTTTAATTTTTTTCCTAAATAAATGATGTCATGTTTTCAAACAGGATATTCTTTTTAAATAGATTTATGAACCTTATATATTGTTAATAATCTGTGCCTGTTGCAGATTGTGTGTTAGGTACTGCTGAACATGCACAGGCCAGCAACAATTGAAATCACATGCAGGTATTTAAATAAATAAATGAGCTGAATGGAGTATTACTCCAGTAAACCTCCTAGTAAAAGCATTTGCCTTTTCGAAAATACATCACCGTTCGACAAACCTCTATTCCACTAAAAAAGTCATACGTTTATGTTTATAAAAATCTTATAAAGAAACTAATGTCAACAACTTGATTCTAGTTACAAAATAAATATTGTTTTTCTTAATAAATAATAAATGAAAATGTAGAAAAGCCACTTTACGAAAGGTTTTCATAAAATGTAAAAATGAAACAAATAATAGTATTTATCACATAAACTCTGATTAATGTTGAAATGTTAAATAAAAATATGGTTGAATGCCACGTGTGAAGTAAAGAAGGAGAATTAAAGGAATTCCCTTAATATAAGCATTAATCATCAATAAAACATTGAAGTACATCAATAAAAGTATCATTGTACACATTACGAGAAAAAGGAATTATATAATACAGTAATAGAGTTGATTTTAACTTGAAGATGCAAAACAGCAAATTCATGTTATGGTGGCACGAAAGCCTCCCAGAGTCAGGTATCCTTAACCAGAAGAAAGGATCCTACTGATCTCTTTCCATCCCACTCCTCCACCTCTGTAGCTGAATATGTTACTTTCTTATTTGTCCTCACAGGTGATAAGTTACGTTTCCTTTTTGTTTTCTGTAGCTGAATAAGTTACAATTCCTATTATTTATTTCTTCTTCAATTTTTTAAAACCTCTATTGAAATCATGTTAGCAAAATGTTCACAACGGTGAGAATAAGGGCCATCCCATGTAGATCAGCACCGTTTACTTCGTGAATTAGTTTCTTTGGGTGCATTAGATCAGGGAATTTGAATATGATCATTTCATATGATGTTTATTTGGATGGGAAGACAAGATAACACTGGCCAAGGCTTTGGGCCTCTCGATAACAATGGTTTCATTTTGTGGGTTGCATTAGGTTACAAATGTCTGACGCAATTCATCTGGGATGGTTTTTCAAACATGTTCTACACATAGGGACATGTGTTTATAAATTTCTTTCAGATGTATGAGAGCTGTAAGTCAGTGTTTTGTAATACAATGCCAAAAGAAGAGTCCTAAGAAAAAAGTTTTGTACTAGTTTTATAATTAGATATAGAAGACCATTTTCATTAATTTTAGTTATACTGTAACTGCTTGAAGAATGAAGATTCTTTCATTGCACTGTTGACACATCAAAATTCAAAATTTAATGTCAAATTTTTTTCTCTATTTTACTTTCTAGTACTTAATAACGTAAGAAGAAAAAGTATTGTAATCATGTGCTGAAAAGCAATGAATTTTTTTTTACACAAAATAAACTTGTTGCTGGGCCTTGGTAGGAAAAAAGTGGATAAATCTAGTTGCTAAATATAAAATAAAAATTCCTCTAACATGTTTTGTGGGTCTCCATGTTTTGTGGGTCCCTGATACCTAAAAATCAACTGACAGCAAAACGTCAAGCATAAATGGTTCTGCTGATTTTCTTCCTCCACAATTGATATTCTCCAATTGTTGTAGCTGATGTCGCGGACCCTGAATTTTGAAACCGAAATTTTAATTTTTGGAGTTCTTTACATGAAGCCCCGGGGACATAAAAAAAAGGAGGCTCTAAATTTATTGATTAAATTTTGTTGTTGAATAGTGCAAAGGACGTGTAAGAGAATGAGCCAGGTCTCATTTTCGTCGACATCACCAACAAAATCAGCTCTTCAAAAACAGATCATACACAACTTAAAAAAAAAAGACTAGCAGTTTTTGCATACTTTGTGATTAAAATTCACAAAAAAGAAACTTTTCTCAAAAACTGCTCAAAATTTATCTTTAAATTTTCTCTACATATGTACTAAGGAATGATAAGATATATGGCACTTATCTCATTTTTAGGTATTGCTAGTTTTTTTTTAGAAAATTGCGAAAATCTACAAAATTGAAGATGGAGGTTTTGCCTAGACAAAGCCTGTTGTACAAAATAATCTCTTTAGAAACAGTCATGGACAATTTTTAGTAAAAGTTAGTAGTTTTCGTGTAATTTCAATTGAAATTAATGAAGCATATATCAGCGCCCCATTGTACATAACGATAACATTGTAATATTGCGAAAAAGTATATGCTATTGTAGCACCACCAGTTTCAATTTTAAATTTCCATTTTTGAAGTCAAGGAAAAAAATATTTCTTTTATTCCTAGTATTTTCTTTCTCTTTGAGACACTCACGTTTTCTATACAAGATGTGAAAAACACAACCCATGCATACATGAACTGCTTTAGTGTCTTGCCATGAGAGCAAGAGCAAGAGAAATTGGGAGAGAGAGGAGAGAGAGAAGAGGAGAGGAGAGAGAGAGAGGAGGAAGAGAGAGAGAGAGGGAGAGAGAGAGAGGAGAGAGAGAGAGAGGAGAGAGAGAGAGGAGAGAGAGAGAGGAGAGAGGAGAGGGAGAGAGAGGAGGAGAGAGAGATGGAGGCGGAGAGGGAGAAGAGAGGAGGAGAGGAGAGAGAGAGAGGAGGAGAGAGGAGAGACAGAGGAGAGAGGAGAGAGAGGAGAGAGAGGGACGAGAATGAGAGCGAGAGAGAAGGAGACGAGGAGAGAGAGAGAGAGAGAGAGAGAGCGAGAGAGAGGAGAGAGAGGGAGAGAGAGAGAGAGAGAAGCAGATGAGATAAGGTAGGAGAGGAGAGAGGGGAGGGGAGAAGAGGGAGAGAGGAGAGAGAGAGAGAGAGAAGAAGAGGAAGGAGAGAGAGAGAGCGGAGAGAGGAGAGAGAGAGGAGAGAGAGAGGGAGAGAGAGGGAAGAGAGAAGGAGAGAGAGAGCGAGCGAGACGAGAGGAGAGAGAGAGAGGAGAGAGAGAGAGGAGAGAGAGAGGGAGAGAGAGAGAGAGAGAGAGAGAGGAGAGAGAGAGAGGAGAGAGAGAGTAGGAAGGAGAGAGAGGAGAAGAGAGAGAGGAGAGAGAGAGAGGAGAGAGAGAGGAGAGAGAGAGAGGAGCGAGAGAGAGGAGACGAGAGAGAGAGGGAGAGAGAGAGGGAGAGAGAGAGACGGAGAGAAGAGAGAGGCAGAGATGAGAGGCTGAGAGAGAGCGCAGGAAAGGGGAATACTCACATATCAGCCACTCCTCCTCCCAATGAACATTAAAATCTTAAAAAATAGCCCAAATGCAAAAGCTATGCATCAATTAACAATTACCTTAAATCGCTGGTCCAGCCGGGCTATTTCACCTTGTAAAACATCAGGGATGTCATTTGGGGATTCTTCCACCTTTTTCTTTTTCAAAGGGGGTGGAAGCATTCTAAAAAATAATAATTAAAAATTATGAGCAGATTGTAAATATACAATTATTGCTAATAAAATAGTGACATATTGAAGATTTACTCACTTGATTTCTGGACCAAATAAAGCCTCTAAACAAGGACCAAATGTTCGCTGAAGAGTGTGATTTACAACAGGACTTTGCAATGTACTGTTCACAGCTTCAAGAATAGGGGTGAAAATATGATGCTCTTTTAAAGATGCAAGTTGAGTATTCTGTGGAGCAGCACTGCCTTCTCCCTGATCAATTGAAAATAATATTCTTATACATGTTCACACATAAGCTTAAAAGTAACATATGGTTTACAAGACAAAGTAACAGCTTTATCTTATCATTGGCATTAGTATGTCAGTGTACTAGTTGTAGGTATGCCAGTTTACTTAGTAGTAATGGTGAGATATTCATCTAGCTCATGTTTGGAACCTTTTCAGTGAACCACAAACCAGAGGACAAGTAGTTAGGCATTCTGCTTTACTAACTAGAGATAGAAAGTCAAAGATTGGCTAGTTAGTGAAAATCATGTTGTCAATTTATGGCATAAAAGAATATTACTATGTTAGGTATTCTTGCAGAGAATGTGGTTTCATATTCATTACCCTCCCAATGATTCTAATTAGGTGAATAAGTCAATAAAATCATTCAACTACAATTCATCAACTTTAATTCTTTGTTTCACTATTTCGTACTTCTTTTAACTAATGTCTAATGTAAGTTTACTAACTTCCATGTGCTCACACACAATTACTAAAGAGAATTAAAACTGTCAATGTAGAGAACTTTTGTATGTAATATTGAGAATGCTTGAATGTAAGGAGGTGGCCAGCATTGATATTCCTACCCCTATCTATTTAGGTGTGTGTGTTTTTTCTCCAGCCATGGCTGTTTTCTGCAACCCAATTTCCATGCCTCTTTAACCCATATGTCTTTTCCTTCATTTCTGTTTTTCCAAGGCTTTAATTACTGCTCTCTACTTCTTTGTCTCCCTTTGTACATTCTTCAGTATTGGGTATACATTCCCAAACGTTTTTGTGGAAGTCTACCTGATTTCAACCTTCTCGTACGTCTATCCATTTTAGTTTGCTTCATTCCGATCATATCGTTCAAGGTTGCGTGCATTTTCATTTTATTTCTTATAGTGTCGTAACAGAGGAAGTTTATAACATCTTTGCCAGAACATCATTTCTGTTGCTTGAAGTTTGTCTCTCATATTTTTTGTTAATGTCCAGACTTCTGCCCCGTAGAGTATTGTACTCTCTATGAAGGAGCTATATGTTTCTTTGTCTTTATAATCAAAATAATAGAGTTCCACAGCACTAGATTCAACAGTGTTGTGGTTATTTTTCCTCTCATATTTCTATTTCTCACATCCTGTTCATCTCTTCTATCTGGTGTCAGTGTAATTCCCAAATACTTATTGTGTGTATTACCTTAAACTATTCCTACACTCTTCTCTAAATCATGGGGCATACCCTCATCACCATATATTCAGTCTTTTGTACATTTATTTCTATTCCTCTATTTTCCCTACTCTTCTACTAATTTTTCTAAACTTATAAGTTACATCATCTTCAGTCATTATCATCTGCACTCGTCTTGCAAAGATAATACTAAACATGGTTTCATTACTTATTTCGTACTTCTACACTTTCTTTCCATTCTTTTAGGGCTTTATCAATGTATATCTTAACCAGAGTTGGAGATATTCAGGAGCTTGCTGTAATCCTTCATTTACTGGCAAGTTGTCTGATAAGACATTTTCCAACTTTCCTTGTGTTCTGTTATCTTTATAAAGTTGTCTGACTGCATTTATATTTGTTGTTGATGTCCCTTCCTGGTTCCATTGTTCCCCATACTTCTTTTACTGGTACATTACATTAAGCTTCTTGAGATTTAAGAAAATTTGTGAAGTTCCCTTCCTCGCTTGATTTTTTTCTATCATTGAAAATGTCAATACAGGATCATCCTGGTCTAAAACCACTTTGCTCTTCTGAGTCTGACATTTGCATTTCAATTCTATTTTTCAGCACAAGTCCATAGTGTCTAACCAAAGATGAAGTCACACTGATCCCTCTATAACTATTACAATCTCTTTTATCACCTTTTTGTAAATTGAATTTATATAGGCTAATTCCCATATTTCTGGAATTTTACCTCCTTTTAAAATGCCATTTAATATTTCTGTAATTAATTTCTATTTCAAACTGACAAAACATCGGCTCTTAACAATCAGCAATAATCCACAAAACAAAAATTTCAAAACTGAAAATAACATTTTATTAGCAAGATATTATCTTAAATATAAAATTGTAGATAAAATACTTACACGTTTGAGATCAAGTTTTTCTAATACAACTTCACACTTCAAAAGTGTTTCAAGCGGCATACGTTTACTTGGGTTGGAAAGAATCTCTAGCAGTTTCTTCATTTTACTCAATTTCTCAACATCTAACACAAACAATTTCAATTTAATATAACTTGCATCATTTCAACATTTTTTCTATTAGATGTTAATACTCACCATCGTTTCCCATTCGGGCAATCATTCTTCTCAATGGCTCTATGTATTTGCTTAGTTGTCTTACTTTATCCCTGTAAGCTTGATCTTCCTGAAGACTGCAAGGACTAGGAGTGGGGACAGTCTGCCCGGGAGTGTTCAATGAACTGCTGGGAGAGGGAGCCATTCCTAAAATAAAATATCTTCAATAGGTCTGGAATATCACAGTTTACAAAGCCAAGTAACTGCACAATTGTACTTTCATGAACTGCAGATTGTCAGGTTTGATGTTTTGTACATATGATGAATACAAATAATATAATCAGTCCAAAGTTAAAATTAATCACACTGAACTATAATAAAAGCATATAAAAAGTGATGCAAGGATTAAATTTAGTAATAATTCATTTACTTTTACATTTCTTTAAGAACTACTGTTTGTTCATAAATTCATAGAATAAAATAATAACAAACCCAAACAAATTAAAACAATAAAAATAAAATTAAAAAGAAAAAATTCCTTAGCTAGTATCACTGATTCCTCAGCTATTCTCTTATGGCCTTCTTTTTAACCCTTTCAGTCCTGATTTTTGCATAATGATCAAAAATAATTTCAGATTTTAAATTTGAACTTTGTAAATGATACCTAACATTGTATGTTAAGAAAATGTTTTGTTATGACTTATTGGTTTCGAGAAAACTTTATGCACTCATTTGAGAACATTCAGTCTCAATAGTAAATAAATATATAGAAGTAAACTACATCATTATTTGTTCTGTTGCACTTTATTTATCTAACAACACAATAGGAGTACTGAAAATAAACTCGATAAGAATATGTAAATCCAAAAATATTATAAAAAAACGTAAATGATGATCAATTAGCGAAACATTTGTTAAAAAAACAAACAAAGTAATATGTGAATCATGCTTTTTGTGTCAAACTTATCTTTCTATGACAGTAAACCCTAACTGAATACAATGTTCTAATTGATATGAAAAAAGGCACATAAATAAATAGCATAAAAAATAAACGCACACAAAGTAATAGTAAAAAAATGAATGCCACAAAAATTAAATACAACAATATTACATTTCGGTACGAAAAGCCACATAACAATTTCTACCTCTCTGAAGGCACAAATGAATGTTACATTTTCTGCATTTTATTATTGCATGCCCTGAACATTTTTGGTATGTGCAGCAATTTGGTTGCACAGAGTCATCATAAAAAAAGCAAGTGGTCGACATTGTCATACTGAATTTCCCCGTCACTGTGAACTGGACTGCAGGACTTGCTTCACAATTGGTTTCTTTAGGATGGCCTCTCTTGACCGGCTTCAGCCACACACATCTGAAAGCGCAGCAGGTTAAGCTGTTTCTCGGAAGGAAGGCCTAAAGCCTCCGAGTCTTTTCGTTATTCCAACTAGCGGTGTACTATGGCCAGATCAACACCATGGGAAATCATATGCAGTGTCCATTTTCTTGACCTGATAAACATTCTCTAATAACTAATCAATTGATCAAAGTGATCAACTCCGCCCATTGCACGATTGTAATTTATAACAATTTCCGGCCGTGGTATTACGACATACTTCTTGTCCCACCATTGGCACTTGACCCTTTACTGTTCCAATGAAGATTGGAAGACAGAATGACAGATCTGTTCACCCATTTTACCATAAAAATATTATCAGTGCTGCTAATCTCTTCACTACATTCTTGATGATTTTTCATTATTTCTTTGCCAGAAGTGAAAGGAATATTCTTTCCAAACCTATCAACCCTGACAGTTCAAGCAGCAAAAATACCTTTTTGTTTTAGAATTTGAAATAGATGATATGATGAAAAATAGACGTGGAAGTAGTGTGTGTCCATTTTCTCCAAATACCTTTTGATAAGTTCTAGCACATTTTATGGTCCTAACCCATACTTTTTATTACATTCAAATTACTATTCATTACATACTACATATTACATTTCAGATTTAGTACCTTGATATAAAATAAAATAATAAATAATGCCTCTTTTTTCCACAAAGCATGAACATTTTTATGCCACATGGATTAGGCTAGTCTTTTACACATTGTTTCACCGAAAACATACCTGTGAATGGGATCATAGCTTCGTCTATGCATTGATGTTCTTCAGTTTTCAAGGCTAAATAGCAGTGGTGGCAGCGGCAATGGTGTAATGGTAGCGTATTGGTCTGTTGTACCCAAGCTGGCGGGTTCAAACCCGATCGACGCTGTGGATTTTTAAGGGTGAATAAATTGTTTGTATGCCTTCCTTCGGAGGGGAAGTAAAGCCAGCTGTCCTGTGTTAGTAGATTTATTGGCATGTAAAAGTTCCTCAAGCCTAAATGACGCCTCTGAGCTAAATTCAAATCGCTTGCTTCATCGCCCAATAAATATCTCCTTTCTCCGCTAGTTGGTGAAAGAAGCGTATCAAAATTTGCGTGTTTAGACGGAAGAGCGGGCCTGATGGCCCGAGTCTCACCACGTAAAATAAGGCATTAATTCAATTCAAAACCGATCACGAATTGCATTATAAATAGGTCTATCTTTTATAAAGTTCGTCTCTCTCTTGTTTGTTCTTGTCTCTGTTGTTTTAAAAAGTTTGTCTCTCTGTCCAAATTGTTAATCAAATGCAGATTTCTTCTGGGTTCCAAAATTACTCCCTTGCCATGTCACCAAGCACATTTACTTTAAGGGCAGTATCCCAATACATCCAAATCTTGGATACGATAAAATACTCTTATTACAAGTAAGCTAAAAAAGACCCTAAGTTCTTGAATAGCAGTAAGAGTAAATTAACTTTTCTCTTTCTGCAGAGCATAAATATTAGTAAAATTAGCCATGGATTTAAATAAACTGAATAGGCCCTATTTAATGTTTATTAAAAATTAAATAATTGAATCTTCAAATTCATACATTTTAATTAAATTTGAAGATTCAAAATCAATTACATGAATATTAGGGAATACATTTCATCTTACATTTTTAATTTCCTTATATTCACATCATCATAAATATTTCTAGATTCTAATTTGATTTCTAAATATTGATCAAAGTAATTTCTGTCATCATCTTCAACAAAGTTTATCTGGGAAATTTTATTTTCGATTACTTGATCTGCACCAAATCGAATCCATCTTTCAATTAATGGTACACTTTCAACATCATTGTGATATATTTGACGACAGTGATGACAGTCAGATACTTGACCATTTCATCTAAAATGCCTCTCTCTGCCACCAATTCGTTGTATCTACCTGCTGAGCGTGATCCTCCTGAAGCTGCATCCATTGTCAGTCCTCGTTGCCATACACAACACTTGAGACTGAATGTGCACAAATGAGTACATTAACTTTTTGCTCGTGTATTTACTGTCTGGGTCCCAGTTTTTCGACCGCTGGAGAGGGGTCCTAGTTTCCACGCGGGGCGAGCGGCAGGGTAGGAGGGGATGGCTTTTGCTGCAAGTAGGGATGCAACAAGTAGACTAATAATTGTTCACGCAGAGGGGAAAATGGATTTCTTTGCGACACGTGAGTAACCTTCGAGCTAGTAGTACTGTCGGAGACTACCACGGCCAAATGAATGGCATTAATTTTGAGAACTGGAATCCTTGACAATGCTCCATACCACAGTATGGAAGTCAACAAAACACCGTCCGCATACTCAAGAAAAGCTGACATGATTGTATGGCTTCAAAGAAAGGGTGTGCATTGTGAAGAAACTATGCGTTAGACTGATTTGTACCGATTAATTGCACCTCTCAAACCACGGGCTAAGCAGTACAAGATCGATGAGTTTCTAGCAGCACACGGACATACAGTTGTACGACTCCCTCCCTACATGTGTGAGATGAATCCAATTGAACTTGCTTGGGCGAAAGTAAAACATATATATATATAGGTGGGTGTAGGGTGTAGGTGGGTATGTTAGAAAATATATATATATAAATATATATATATAAATATATATATATATATATATATATATATATATATATATATAATATTATATAGATGAAATATTCTAACATACCCACCTACACCCCCACACAACTTACCACCCTTCACAGTAGCACGCATGAACCGTAAGCAGGTTGTCAGATTTTGCTCGTGAAGCGAGCTTTGAAAAATCTAGGAGCAGATCTTCAGGGTGCGAGAAAGTTTGAACCTTGACAACAATAAAATACAAGAAATTGCCACACAAACGAGCGTATAATTCTACCATAAACTTTAGTGGCATAGTTAATGACAAAACAAGAATATAAGAATCGCACTTTTACAAAGAATAATCAAAACACAAAATAGAAACTTTACAACACAGACTCGATGTGAATGAACACATAATTTACTTCAAAATTGATACTCTGACATAATTACCCTAAACTACACTGCGAATTCCTTGGAAATTAATTATATCTAAATTTGTGGCTATTCTAATTACATTGCTAAGATTGAATTTTGATTTCACGCGTGCAATCGGCTCGCTTCAAGATATTACAGGTAAAGAACAAAAGTGTGCAATGCACTACTCTTAATTACAATTCAAACTGTGTCTGAAAATAGCGAAATAATAAATAGTCCTTAAGTAGAATGTTTTTAGTCAAGCAATAGCGCATCAAAACGTTCTTCTACTATAATACTGTAATTTGTTGCACCAACTGTCCTCAAACTCTTAACACTTTCCGTATACTTAGTTTTCGCCTGCCGACTTGAACTTGAACCGTAATTGTCTGCGGATCCAACTGTTACCTTCGTGGACTTCCTAAATTTGGCCTTGATGGTCGTGCGCTGGGCGCTGCGGTGACGCCGCTCGCGTCCCAACCTCTGCGTTGTAAGAGAGACGGATTCGCCCCTCCTAGTCTGCGTTGCCTTCTTGCGTCCTCTCCGTTCTTCTTCGTTTCGATCCGTCTTCTTCCTCGTGCGCCCAAGTCCTCGGCCTCTTCTTCTTCCTCGTCTGCTAGCCGGCGCCTTCTGACTTACGGCCCACGGTGCGAAAATGTCCTTTGACTTTACCGAATACTCGTTGCAAGTTCCTCGCTCGTTGCTACTTTTACTTTGACCAAGCTAGAACTTTTAATGTTTCCCTCACAACGGTAATTTTTACTTCCCGTGGTGTTAATTAAGAAAACCTAGCTTAATCTGCACTATTTCTCGCGGACGACTAAGCTAGAACGTCTGTTCGACGCGGAATACTCCTACCTAGTAGTCGTTGCAGCGGCAAACAATATCTAAACTGAATGTTTAACGAAAGGTGTGGACTCGTCGAACAGGTGATCAAAAGAGCAGTGCTTACTCGACGCGTGGTGACAAAGAAAAAGTAGCTTCCGCTTGCGGGTTCGCGTATTTAGGGGCGCGCGCGCCTGGGGATCTTCGTGATAGGGGGGGGGGGTGCTTCCCCTCTCTCAACCCTTCACAAGAAAACAGTAGCTCGCTAGTTCGCATTCGTTATACGGGCAACGGATACCAGGCCGCTGCGTTTAAGTACCTCTGCCTACACGCCTTATCCGCGCTGTCCTTCCTAGTGTTCACACAGGAGACGGTTGGTGTTAGGGGGTTTGCACAATCCCATTAACCGCGCCACAATATATATATGCATGCCTGCAAAATCCTTGCCAGAACCTGCAGGTGACCTCGTGTATTACAGTTTTCAATTGTTTTCTTGCAACTTGGTAACTGCACATATCACCTGTTACATTTCGTTCCCGTATATATATATATATATTATATTATATATATATATAATATATATATATAATATATATATACTATTATAATATATAATATAGGCAGGTCTGCGCCAAGATTTTGCAGGCACGTGGAAAAATAGAAAGAATTATTGGAAAAGGATGGTAGTACCGCGACATCATTGACGAAATAATACTTAGGATTCCAACAGTCATTCATCAGAGCAGTGGAAGCCTGCAGATCATCATCAGATTCTGAATAAGTTAAGTTAGATACTAAAATAATCATGCAAGAAAAACGTCTGTGATCATGTAATAAGAAAATGTTTTTCGCGCGGCTAGTAGTACATTGATAGCCGGGATGTCCTCCCCACCACCGCTCCGTTTCTGGGAAGAGGCCTAGGTCCCTCCCATCTCGTGGTCGGAGAACTCAGTCCTGGACAGTACACACTGACACTATACAGCAACAATCTCTTCTAGATACATTCAGAAAAACTATATTAAATGAGAAGAAATTTTCGTCCAGAATTACGCAGATTAGATAAGTGAGAGGTTCAGAGAAAATGAGAACACCAAATTAATATATCACTGATAAATTAATTAAATTGTCAGAATACTCCAAAAGATAAAATGAACACAGCTTGAGATAAAGTACTAAGCAAACGATACAGGGGAGTCTATTTCAATATTTCTTGTGAAGCAAGGAAACAGATAGAAGCCAAAATATTTAATGTACTCATTTGAGTACACTTGGACTGAATGGGTTAACATGGGTCAAATCTGGTATTAAGTAAACTTCCATTATCTCTCACTTAAAATAAAAATTCCATTTACAGCTTATACACATTTAACACTAAAATCTCAATTTTTTTTATACCAATTCAGATCATATATTTTTGTTCCTCTCCTTAGATCAACACCAAGTGTACTACCACTTTCATTATACCTACAGCTACTGAAATTGCCCATTTCTAAACGTGCAGTTATCTTCTAAAGAGGCTTTTACAGGTAAACCAAGAATTAGTTTAGTGCAACACACTATGTCAATTAAGTGAACTTCAAACTCCCAATTTGATGACAGTGTTAGTGCTGACAAAGTGTCAATGGACTTATAGTTTTAATCAAAGTATAGAAATACTTATTTAGAAGAAGTTAAAATATTAATTAATAAAATAAGACAAAAACAATTAAATAGAACTCATTACATTACATACCAACTGATCTCTGAGGTACTGACATGGGAGTCAGCTGAGGGTTTGGAGAAGGAACTAGTGCAGGAGATGCAGCCATCTGATTGCTGCAACAACATTTAATAACCCCATATAAGAATCAATATGTATTTTAAGCAATTAATGATAACACAAATTAGAAGTCTTTATATAACCTTGATGGTGCATTGCCCAAACCAGCTGGTGATGGTGCAGAAGGTGAAGGGCTTCGATGCAAAAACTGATTCGGTGTTACATTACGAGGCCCAGCAAATCCAGCATTTTGATTTACCATCATCATATTTTCAGGTCCCTAAAAAACCAAAAAGATTTAAACAAGTGAATTGATGACATTTCAAATTAGTCTCATGTGTTTTATATGCAGTATTTTGAAAATGACTAAACAGAGCTCTTTCAAGATAGAACTTATCCAAACAGTTCGAAATTTCTTTTGTGTTTCAATTCTGATTCTACAACTCACAAGACTACTTCACCACACTTCACCACATTCATTCTATTAACAAAAAATGTATCAAGTACAGGAACATTTATTTAATTTAATATTGTTCTGAATATTTTCTTCCATTATTTTTCTTTTGTAAATTTTATGTCTAAGGCTAATAAATACATTGCCTGAATAAAGATGAAAACAATAAAAACTGAAAAATCATATTTTTTTACAATAATCAGAGTAAAACTTTGTATCACGGCAGTGCAATTCATATTACCCATTTAATTTAAAAATTGACTAAGAGACAATTTTTACTCTCTTATGGTATAAAATAATTAATGAACATTGAGTAACAAAATCACTTTCACTTTCAGAACATACCAGCAAATTAACAAATACATAATTATTTCTTATTGATTTTAGAGTTGTTACCTTACGACCAGCCATCTGTGCTATATGAGGAATTTGCCCTGGCATTTGCCCTGGCATCTGGGCAGGCATTTGTCCTGGCATCTGGCCCCCCATCTGATTCTGCATCTGAGTAGCTATTTGTCCTTGCATTTGTCCAGGAATTTGTCCAGGCATCTGACCTGGCATTTGCCCTGGCATGGGCATCCTCATTGGTGAACCCATTTGACCAGGCATTTGGTTTAGTTGCCCTGGCATCTGTCCCATCGCACCCACCTAATAGAAATACAACATTTATATCCTTCCTAACGAAGACCCTTAAGATATATATTTACAAAATTAAAAAGAATAAATGAATACATAAAAGATATAACAATGAAATAATTATTCTTATCATAGCTGTATATGATCAATATTCACCAAAATACACTAGTGGCCTCCTAGGAATTGAAAGAAAAATATAAGGGACAAATTAAAATGATCAGACTTTTCACAATTTTCATCCTAAACGAATGGATTTTTCCCTTCAAATAATGGAAGTGTTCTCTTTATAACTAGAGCTTGGATAATGCCCTATTTGCCTATTATATTTCTTTCTAGGCATATTTTGGCAATTTACCACAATACCCATGTTCACTAAGAAATGTTTTTTGCGAGGATTTAATAGTTCATATAAATGTCTATTTTAGAGATACTATCTACTCAAGCATTAAGTACCAATATTGATTGAATTTTCCACTTTTTGTTTTTGTTATTTATATTTTGCTTTCTACAATCATGTTTGAGAAATCACTTGGGTAATTTTTACCCAAACCAGTCACAACCATGTAAAATCTGCCAGGGTGTTCTCTGATTGAGAAACACCTATGACATGTTCTTTCCTGCAACACAGTGAGCAGGATCACTGTGAGACATATGTAAATTTGACACTGTGCAGGACAAGCTTATCTACTTCTCCGAAGCCAGTCGGGGAGCTCCAGAGAAGAGGAAATTGCTCTCATCTTTCTGATCTCCACTATCAGTAGTGAGCTATCTGTTTCTTACCAGGAAGCCAACTGCTATTAAGATTAGCGCTCCCAGCGACTTTCTTTTTACGTCTAACTTTGAAATATTAAATATTTTCATTTTCTTATTGAGAAAGTAATGAATCTATGATGCCTATTTCCCAGCCAATTTTTAACTTTTAGGTGCCTGTTGGCCTACCTATTTTCGACTAAAAATAGTGTCTGCAAGTTTGACCTCTATTTATAACAATATAGATGAAAATTGAATTCACTCCTTTCAAATCTCCCGTTCTGCGACAAAAAGAAAACTATGTTAAAACAATTAAAAAACAATGAATTTCAAAATTTGCTATGGGCTCTATCTATTTCACTAAAATTCAATAAGTCTGTTTACAAGTTTGTAAACCACAATTTCTTTTAAAATGAAGATTGGAAAAGAAAAAAACAGTTGATTTTTTTAAACGTTATGATATTTTTGTGTACATTAATCAGGTGACCAGCTTGAAAAATAAAATTATTTAAATTCACGTATCATGTGTTGGGACAATTATATTTAATGTGCTCAATGTACTCAGACTATGCCGGTTTACAGCGCCATCTGCTACACATGCTTCTCGATCACTTCACTGGTTTAGATGCTATGTATGTACGTGGTGTTTTTATATATCTTTTCTAATATATGTCATTATATTCTTTTCACATATTCTGAACCTTCAACATCATGTAACTCGGAATGTTTAGTAATCTTCAGCAATGACTTCCTGATAATCTGCAAAATATACAGAATACATATTGTGTTATTTCCATAGAGCAACTCAGTTTTTGCCACCCCTGTATATGCCCATGTAGATATATATCTAAATACATTTAATCTGATTCTGTTCCACTCAGTCACATGCATGGGATGGTCAAAGACACCATTCATATGATTCTTTAAAAAATTTGCCAGACAGAAACTGTCATAAAAAGTAAAAGAAAACGTTCCTGCTGAGCTGAGTGGACTTGCAAATCATATATAAAATCAAATAAAATGCACTTTTTAAAACTCTTAACATTCGAAATCATCTATTTTTTTTATCCCCCACCTACGCCACTTTGAAAGAAAATGTTCTTGGTTCTAAATCCTGTTAACAAATATTTAACATTTTAATTCACAAGAAATAAAGTTCACAACAAGCTTTGAAATGAACAATGCTTTTTTTTTTTATTTTAAAAGGTTGTTCATGTTTTTGCAATGCAAATGCATTCAATTTTCACCTACACCATTATAATTGTTTTTTTGTGAGGAGATAATTAAAGGTCAATTGTGTAATGAAGTATATAATTGCTCATATGAATGCACAATACAACAGCCACAGTTTAATACACTTCACAAGAGTTAAAGAACAAATTAAAATTAACAAACTTAACACTCCTTTACAAATATTTCTATCTGATCATTTTATTTTTAGTGCAATTATTACTGCAACCACGTTAATTCAGTTTCATTTCTGTTTTTTATGTAATCATTTTATTCTTAGACACTATTGGGTTATGACAAATAAAATTATTGAAAACAATTTGTGGATTCGTACCTGAGAACCACCCATTGCCATTTCAGGCATTTTGTTTGGTAATGTAGGGAGACCAGGTAAACCTTGGCCAGGTCTTTGATTTAATGTCTGCAACACTAAATGTAAATATTTTTTTTAACATCTTTGATAAGAGTTTCTTAACTTTGTTAATCATTGCAGTACATGGGATAACAAGCACACTCACAGTTGGTTGCAGGAATCTGTGGTGATTGCTGAGGAACCATTCCTGCATTTTGTGGAACACCTATTCCCATCATTTGATTGTTGCCTGTGCCTGAAAATAATTTAACAGAATAGGCTGAGATTTCATTAAAGTGGTGGGAAAGGGCGCTGTGATGTAAAGGGTAGTGCATACACCTTCCACTGCTTGAACTCAGGTTTGATCCTGGCCAATGCACATGGAATTTGTGGTGGAAAGCAAGCTATTAGCAGGCTTCTGTTTCCCCTGCCTTTCATTCCACCTCATTAACATTTTCTCTACCATCTACTCATAAAGTCATTTCTTGTGGGCCTTTATGACCATATTGGTTGATGGCTCCAAACTCCAGTAAATAAATACCCAAAAATGAAAAAAATTTAAATAGAGTTTGTAGAAAATCAATTAGTTATTTTGAATTTATGTATATAACCCATTATGAAAATTAGTAAAATGTTAACTACAAACTGTTACTTTACATCTTATTTTCTATACTTACCTTGTCGTGCAAGGTTTTGTAATGCCCCAATTGGATCTTGCATAGGCTGTCCTGTATTACCAGCAGGTCCCCCCATGCTCCCACCTTTCTTGGAATCTGTAAACAGAAGCATCAATAAGAAACACAGAAGAATTACAGAAACATCAATGTCTTTGCTTGGAAGCAACCACACAAGATATTATGACCACATATGTTCTGTAAAAAGAGACAGTGCACTCAGAAGCATTGAAATTCATTACATATCCCTTATTAAATTCTCTCTGCGCTCATTTATCTTCCTTTTCACACAGATATAAAAAATATTTACAAGTGGTTTAAATCTATCAAGAGAGGGAGAGAAGAGGAGAAAGGAGAAAGAGGGAGAGACAGAATTGTAAGGCAAATAAAATAAGAGGAGAAGAAAGTATGTTAAATGTGTTTTTGAAGGATATCCTTACATTATTTTTGATTTTTGATAATACATTATTTGCAATATAATTATTCTTAACTTGGAAGAATAATGCTTAGAGGTTGAGAAAAAAAAAGTCATTTGGAACAGTGGTAAATTATGTTTCACTTCACAAAGACCTGAATCCCTTACAAAAACAAACAACAAAGGAATGACTTAAACTGAAATTTGAGACACCTTATACTGATTGTCTTAGCACTTTAAAACACCTTATAATTTGATATGGCTGTTTTGTGAATGTCAAAGTACACTGCTGGTTCAATGTGTTTACGCACACACGCATGCGCACACAAAGAAGGTGGGGAGGGGAGGATATCTAACAGAAGAATACAAATAGATGAACATGAGCAATCACGAAGTGTAATTAAAAACTTGTAATTTATATTGACTTTCTTTTGTCTCTCAACTAATTTCTTTTTAAACTTGAGTTAAACAAGGGGACAGGAGCAACCCAATTAAATACTGCTAAACATAGATGTCAATATACAAGGTAAATCCAGATGAAAAAAAACATGCATTCTCTCTTAAAAATCACTAACAGAATAAATTATCTCTTAAAAATTATGGAAGTACATATTAAATGACTGAGAAACTGTTTTGCATTCAATACCATCACTTCATTTAGAATATTTATGGATACAGTTATGTAGATAAGCATTTGTCACTATGCATTCAAATTCAAATAAATGGATTAATCATTTACAGTCCAAACATTACCCTTGGGCAATTATTCCAGACCAATGTAACAAACCACACATTTGAATGATTTCTGAACTTTTGAGAAATCCAAAGACATCATTACTTCATCATTAGATTTATTATGATTAATCAAAAACAAGCTTATCCACTACATTGAACATTTCTTTAGTGTAAGGAAGTCCCCAAAACTAAAAATACTCTTAACATAAATCATTAAAAATCAATAAGAAATTAAATTCAATGTCACCTTCAAAGTATGGCGATTATTCATTATTACTTTTTCTTGTCCACACTAAAACATTTATTTCTAGGAAACGACAACAAGACATATGACATTATTACACACAAAGTGCATAAAAAAGTGAATATATTTCAGTGAGAGTGAGAAATCATCTAGTTATGAAATAACACAATTTATATGAATAGTACGAAGATGAAAAAACGTCTTTCAAAAACTTTATACAGATGTCTCATGCTTTTAATAAGGACCGAACAAAACTGCGACATTGGACACTTTTTGCAGTTACAGCTTAAACACATTTTTTTGAAGTAAACAGTTTCCAGTTTTAAGATATACTAATTTCAGTAATGGATTTAATTCAGCTGAATTTTTTAAAAAGAAAAATAACAATCTAGAAGAAAAAAAAATCTTTTATTAATGTAAATATTAAATTTTCAATAATGAGTTAGAGTGTCATCAAAAATAAACCTTCCTTTTTCTTCTTTTGGGATTTGCAACTACATTGATATGTGATCTTTTGAAACAGTATCTTCATCAATGTGAAATACAAAAATAATTCTACAGTTGTTTAATTGACAAGGAAATTTCACATTAATTTCTTTTATTTGTAGTTGGCTGTTAAGTAGGTTTCTTCTTCCTAGTTTGCACCAGGGGAATCACCTTCTTGTGTTGTCCATGTGTTTGTTCTGTTTTACACAAAATATATGGCAGAATGAGTTCTCCACTTCCTGAGGCCATCATTACAGAAACACTAGTTTTTGTTGAGCTGAGGATACATTCTGGAAGTTTTGCTAGTCTTCTTACAATAATGATTTTGCTTCCTGGGACGCCATTAAAGTGTTTCGGCAAAACTTAAAACATTACTCTGACGATCAGCATTCAGAATTGGTTTAAGATTGCCCATTTCATGCATCGTATATTATTTTTAAAGTGCTTTCCTTATATACATGATCTATCAAGAAAATGTTCTAGAGATAGATTGATTTTTATAGTGATGTGTGATATGTACAAAATAAAATAAAAGTTAATAGAATTGATGCTTATTGCAATCATTTGTTCAATATTTCATTGCATTAGCTGTAATTGATCTATTGAAAGCATTTGACATTACCTCTTTGAGGAAACATGTGTTAGAGAATATAATATAACGTGTTTTCTTAATTTTGAAATGTGTTTTTAAATACAAAAATTATAGAATGTAAGTAAACACAATGTATACTAATTGTCTGATGTTTTTTAGGTAAGGTGGTCTGCAGGATTTCTTTACCATATCCTACAGAATACATTCAAAGATCTCTGTACATTTAAAACATTTCCATTACATTTTCAGAAAGATGTTAACCTCAGAGTTCAAAGAAGAAATTGTATTGTTCCTGAATGTGTAAACTTCTCTTAATCATTACTCTTTCCGATTTGATGCTGAACGACATGAAAAAATATTTTGGGATTTTCTACATTCTGTTTAGTGAATATGTATAACTTTTATAAGTGTTCTACAGCTACATCCCAAGTGTATTTTATATTCAGCAAGTATTTTTGCTGCTCAAAATTTTAAGATACGTTCCAACTTTCCAAACCATTTCTATCATACTGATTCTTGTGGTTTGAAAGTTCTTTATAAATTCATTCAAATGTAAACCTTTGAATCCCCACAAATCACTATTTGAATTCAATCAAATGACCTTTTTTTTTACACATCTCAGTAACAGTTGCATAATAACACTAATAGTAGGAGGAAACGTTTCAATACACAGCACATTCTCACTAGTTATCATGGAAATGTCTGAGAAAAAATTTGGAGCTATTTCTATGAACATTTTTTAAATGCCCCAAGTTCAGTTCCTTTAGGTTGTAATCCTTTTGGAATTTTGAATATCTTCAAGGTTTAGTGTCTACAAATTTATTAATCATGGAATACAACTGTAATGTATGTAATTAATGAAATGCAAGAAGTTAAAAATATACATTATTTAATTTGTGATAAAGTGAAATATTTTAATTTATTAAGTGTTAATAGAAACAACATATTACAGAGAGCACTGAACTCCATCTATTGAAAAAGTTCAATGAAAAAAATTGCAACTAACTTTGAGAAAATCTTGATGAGGTATTTTTGGAAAACTGTCACAATTTGATTCAAAATTATGCAAAAACTACTGAGGCTCTGTTCTTGTGTAGATTTGATAATTAGAAGCTTCTAATTTCTTCCTTCCCAAGCGTCATTTGCTTGAAGTGTGGCTGCAGTAAATCTTGTCACCAATTATTTTCCTTACTCTCTACCAAGAGCCAACACAATTTGTTCACTGACTGATGTCAAATTTCCAAGCATCCTTTTGTAACACACTGCCCCAAATCATCAAGTGTGGACAAAATCACAACTTAATACAGGAAGTATTCTTCAAACTCTTCTGATTTTGGAAAATTAGTAATAAATTTCATGAAAGGAATGAACCAAGCATAGTTTTTACCAATTGCTACCAATTTTAGTGAGAATACTAGAACTCTTCAATATTCTGTGAAATTTTTGAAGACTATAGAGAAAGTCCGTGTTCTCCTGTATCGAGTACTGAATCAGCTTCTACAATGAAATAATATTCCCTTGATGCTAGCAAATCAATGTAAAACAACTTACAGGGATAGTACAAAATTTGCTTAGCAGAGAATTGTAGATGTGCATGCAGCAGGTACATGAGAACAATGGTAAAACACATTAAAGCAATCTCTGTACAGTTGTTGAACACGATTAGGTTTGGTATGAGGTTTAATTTCTCTACATGTGACAACTTTAAGCTTAATAGACCAAAATATTCAATTACTTAACTTATTTTTTTCCTCTTTCAGATTTAAATTACCAAAGTTCAAATTACCATCCAAAATTGAATTATTAAAAATTACTCAGATAAAAATTATTTTTGCAATGGTAACTTGTAATAAATGAATTATTATGAGAGAGACTGTAATCTTCTGCGAGATATATTTTTACTTACACATATCAAATGAGAATTTGATGTAGAAAAATAGATAATAACATTAATACAAATAAATTAACAATTAATAACATTAAATTGCACAAGCAAAGTTCCCACAGTACATACTTTCTTGGATTATTTGTAATGGTTACGTAATATAATAATACTAATTGAATGCAGAAAAATGTTTGGCCAAGCTGGGATTCAAACCCAATAACTCAGGGTTAGAAAACACTTAACGTTACCACTAAATCAAACAAATGAGCTGGAATTACAGCATTCCCGATAGATTAAAAAAGGAACTGTTCAGAATAAAATCGAGAAGTTTTAAAGCAGATTTGAGAAAATATTGTTTATGTCATTTTTTAAATTAACACCATTTCACTAAAAATTACAAGAAAACGACACAATTTCAAAAAAAATTTACATGACATTATTTAAAGATTTAATTTTGAAGATAAGATTTTATTAAGAAAAAAATCTGGACCTTCCATATGTTAAACATTCATAAATGTTGTTTTCCTCAAAAAACATTATAATATTACATTTTATTTTCCTTTGTTTTTGTATGCATATGTGAAAATGACTATTCGAGATGTTTTGAAAATTTTTAGATATACAGGGTTTGCATACTGGCTATGTCCTCAGCAATACAATTATGTACAATTTTATGTGTACATTATACCACCTGTTTAATACATTCAGAATATTGAAGCATAGTTCAGACAGATGGGCAGACAGACTTATTGCTGTAAGTTTTCAGTATCAGGGATCCACAAAACATGGATTATGACTACATAACGTATTAGAGTTATGTATAGTTATAATATTATACATAATATACTCATATTAGAGTTATAATATGAGTTTTCGTGTCGAAAAATGGCTGTTTTTCTCTGCAGAATTACATAACTTTCTCTGAATTATGCAGTAGCATGTGAGAAAATAAAAATAAGCAATTAAGTAATCTGACTTTGCTTCAACATTTATAAATAATCACCAAACATTGGGACTGAACAATTTAAATCTTAATTTACATTGCATTGGCAACTTAAACTAATTCACTTCCATAAAATATGAAACAAACATCTCCCATTTTTGAAAGATTTCATTTTTAGAAAAACTGCAATTCTCTTGAACTTTAGGGCTGATGAGGTAGATCTTAAAATTATCCAATTTATCAAACTTTGAGACTTTCATTTTTACCCCAAATGCCAACTTTCTACGGGTTCCTGACATTTCAGAAATTCATTTCTGTCTTTTAGCCCGCTACATTCACCATGGGGACACTGTACAAATCGTAATACAGTTCTTGTTTTCATCTTAAAATGTTGCAATAATGCAATTAGAACCTCATATAGTAACGCATTACTTACAGGTGTATTCTATTCATATTGTATTCATCTTAACAGGTGTCAGCATTTGCAAATCAAAATTCTGAGGAGGAAGTTTCAACACAAAGATAATTGGTTTTTAAGGCAGTTTTGTGGGTAGCCATTTGTGCGAACAGATTGTAATTTTTTGCTTTGTTTTAATATAGATTATTCAATGAAATTTTTTACTAATTGATACAATATTTTTTCTAAATAACAACTTACACGCTCTGTAATGATTTTATTATTATTTTATACTAGTAAAACTCAGTAAACATCCTGCTCTCTTTCCCTCTAGTCTCTCCAACCCACACTACCTGGTCCTCCTGTCATAGACTGACACAGCAATGCTCAGCAACATTGAAGCTCAGGTGGATTGGGAATTCTATTTAACTGAAGTGCCATCTAGGGTAGTTACAACAAAATGAATAGCATAAAATCTTTGTCCATGAAAAAACGTATTATGCAACAACTTTCATGGAGATCGGTCAAATGGTGCCAGATCTTGAACATACCAACATACATTTTTATACACACACAAATTTTTGTTGATATTTCATTAGTCATTTTACTGCGCTACAGGGATGCTTCTCGAATTAGTTGGCAGGAAGTATCCGAATGTTAACTGTGGATATTCCCCCTTTGAGACAAATTCTCTCGATAAAATTCTTGTTCTTATTAATGTTGTATCAAATATTGAATATTTATTGATGGTGCCATTTAATTGTTGAGTTTTATCAGATGTGCGAAATAATTTGAAAGATTTCTTTGGGAAACCATATTACAAGCACCTGCTGATTTATTGACTGATAATTTTGTTACCAGATGAGTCAACTGCCACTTTTTAATGTCGATGTTCCTCTCCCAATAGAACGTCAGATCCGGTGCTGACCTACAAGTCTCGTGAGAAAGCATCTGCTGAGTTGGTAACTACTTCTGAAAATCATACAGGTCTAAGAAATCTTGCCAATGATTATTCATCTCTCACAATGCATTCTCCAGAAGAATTCGAAGTGTCCACAACAGAACTGGCACCTAACGAGAATACCTAATGAAGTCCAGCTTACTCTCAATATTTTCAATGTCGAGAAACATTGGATGCTTGGTATGGTCAGCAATAAAGCATATCAAGCTTATATAAATAACTAGAAAGATAATAATTGCCCAACTGTTCTCACGGATACTTCGCACTGCAATTCATAAAACATCAACTGAAAGAGCTATGATGACAAGACCCAATCATGAATTTAGCAGCCACACGTTAAGATGTTTTCTGATTGAATTAAAAGACCTGTCGAACCTGCGAAAGGTGCAGATAGACCCTCAGCAATGTCTAATTAGCAATATCCAATGATAAGACAATATTGGACAACAAGCATAATAATGTATCCATTAGCAATAAAAGGTGCACCTCATGACCAGGTGGGGTTTGGGTTACTTGCTTTCAATTTGATTATACTAAAAAAACTTTTTCTTTTCCTTTCCTTTTTATGATAAATACAAATATTTCCGCTAAATGTTTATTCTTCAGGGATATTACATTTTTAAGTGAAACTATTTATGGAGATAAGAATAAAATCATTAAAATCTAATAAAACAAGATGGAGAAGAATTCAAAACAAGTTCAAACATCGTACCTGCCTAGTGTGCCAATAATATGGGCATACAAGTTTTTCTTCCTACGAAGACATTTTTATTAATATTAAGTTTTTATACGCTTCTTAGCATTCTGAGATTACTTTTTGTTTACAATTACACTACGGTGTAACGAAAATATTTAAAACAATAATTCAGGCAGATAAGGATTAAGACTGCAATATATGATTACCATTTTTAGTTTAGATTTAAGAAATAAAGTTAAGAATGGTTGGCTGAACATTTTCTTGGAAATGAAATGGAAACGAGTTGATTTTTAACTTCAAAACCAAGACAGGATAAGATACAAAGATTATTAACAGACAGACCACTAATGAAAGATAGTGAGTTTTCAAAGGTAACATGCAAGCTCATGAAGCCACAAAAATAAACGAATTCTTATGACAATTACTCCATGCTTGGTTAAGAGGTTAATATTGTATGAATATTTTCATTAAATCAACAATAAAAAATAAACATGAAAAAGTATATTAAGAACTATCTTGCAATAATGATCTCAATCAGCAAGCATTACTGTTAGTTCTTAGAACCATTTTAAAACCCAAAAGAAAAAAAAAAAAAAATAGAAGACTGAAAATCATATTTACTCATTTCTCTGACATGAAGTATGAGACGTGCTACAAAACTCAAGTATTCCTCCTGAAACATAAGCAGTAAATATAATACAGTAGGGAGGAGGCCTTTATCACCAAAATGATTAGATACATTAAATTAGTAGATATATTAAAACATTTTAAAGCGTATGTACCTTGGTTTTTGCTTTTTGAAAAACATGATTTTCCATTTCCATACTATTTTTTGTTGTTGGCATACCAGATCTCTGAATAGCTTCGTCTCTAAAATAAAATGCCATTATTTAACACAATAATTGAAGTTCAAAACATGCCAAAATTCACATCACCACCGGTCGTCTATGATATGCCCATGCACTTGTTATTAATGTGGTTATTTTATCAAGTTAATGAATTATCACCATTGAAAGTAACGCATTACTTACATTTTAGCAACAACGCTTTGACGAAATGTTGTCGTTCTCCACGAATTTTCGTCCTGTGCCATTTTATCCATATACTTTAATGTACCTCTATAATAATCAATTTCTCCGAGACACACACGTAAACGGAGAGTAGACACACAAATTAAAATTCACCATACAGGTGAAAACACTGAAAGAAACAAAATAAACTAACGACCAGACATCCTGTATCATCATCCGTGCATCATTACATCACGGTATCATACTCTATATTCATTCTCTATGCACAAGGATGAGTTCAAGGAGTAATCATAGAGGAGAGATACAACTAGAGTGCGCGCCAGGCTGCGCAGAAGGCCTGGCTGGGTATCAACACTAACTATCTCTCTGCGTTCCGAGTCAACGTGACTTTGGGAAGCTAGCAGGCATTCTGCTATACAGTAGCCTCTAATCTAAACTGAATTTTCTTTTAAATAGCGTGCGTCTAATCACGCCTTCAACTAAGCGTATTTTCTCAATGTATTTACATCCGTCTACGAAATGCTGCTATATAAGCAAGAAAGTTTATTTTAAGTTTATTCTGCTTATTCTAATAAGTGCATGAAAGTTCCAATTTTTGTCCAACTGTTCACTCTCTAACGCGCGGTACCCTCACTACAACACTGTTTTAAAGTTCTATTATCACCAGGAAAATAATTTATTTTAGCAAATATTTTTGTATTTAACTCCATGGGAGGCATATTAATCCAAGTTCTGTTCTACTCAAATGCTAGATACATTCTGCCGATTGATACACCACAGATCAACTAAATACAGCAAGTTATCAAAATATTTCAAGGATTTGTCGAGGCGGGAAACAAGCTTTTATTATATCAATATATATTATATTTGAATTATATTTAGTTACAAACATTAAAATACTGTAATGTGACATACGGAGCGAGAGTACCATCTGCACACTCCTGTGAGCTCTAAAACATTTCTTACCCTCTTCGTGTAACGCTCGTGCTTCGTCATTCGCTTTCTCTTTTTCGTGTGTGTGTTTTAATTTGTCTTTCATTCCTTGTGGTTTTGTCGATTTTTTTCCTTCGACGTCTTTTGGTCTTAGCAGTGTCGTTCTTCCTCTCCTCCCTCGACCTTCTGCCTGTTCGCGGCCAAGTTTTGTAAATTTTGAAGTTTTTTTGATATTAATATTTTATAAAATTTTTATATTTTGAATTTTTATATTTTTTGATTTTCATAATTTTTGATTTTTTTATATTTTTTATTTTTTATATTTCGAATTTTTTAAATTTTCATTTTTTATATTTTTGAATTTTTTATATTTTTCCAAAATTTATATATTTTTATTTTTTTTAAATATTTTTTAGTTTTTAATTTAGTCTTTTTTATTACCTGTTTGACAGTATCGGTTTTGTCATACGCTCAAGTACCGCTCGTCTTTCTTAAACCTCTTTCGTGTTAACGCTCGGGTTCGTTCATTCGTTCTTTCTCTTTTCGTGTGTGTGTGTTTTATTTCGTCTTTCATTCCTTGTGTTTTTTTTTTTTTCGATATTGTCCTTCGACGTCTTTTGTTCATTAGCCAGGTCGTCGTTATCTCCCGTTCCCCACAAATTTTTGTAAAATTCTGAGTTTTTTTGGAAATTTTAATTTTTAAATTTTTTACATAATTTTTGATTTTTATATTTTTTTTGATTTTTTTATATTTTTTGATTTTTATATTTTTTAATTTTTTTTAATTTTTTGATTTTTTTATATTTTTTGAATTTTTATGTTTTTAATTTTTATAATTTTTTTTTCATTTTTTTTTAATTTTTTTTAATATTTTTTAAAATTAATATTTTTTATATTTTTTAATTTTTTTTAGGTTTTTTAATTTAGTCTTTTTATTAACCTGTTGACAATAATCGTCTTTTGTCATACGAACTCTCACCGCTCGTCTTTCTGTACCTCTTCGTGTTAAGCACGTGTTTCGTCATTACGT